GCCCCCTGGACATAAAAAGCCAGTTAAAGAAACAATGGGGCTGGGTGTGAAGTGGTTAAGATGAAAGTCACAACTATGGATGATGGTGTGTTTTTGCTTTGAAATCGCTTGATTCCCCCGTTGACTCTGACTGTGTTGATGGGGGAATCCCTCCCAGTTAGCTGTTGTCTTCTGAACACAGTGAATATTGCCAGTGCCTGTACCCACTGGCAATTATCACATGGAAAAATCTGACATGCTGGTTGTATCCAAGTTGTACAACAATCAACTTGGGTACAATCAGCCTGCCCATAAGTGGTTCAAATCTCTGCCGACCCCTGCTGAACTGGTCAATATTCAAACCATGTATGGTTGGCTAAACACTGAAGGGCCACCACAAATATGACACACTCAGTCCTCTGGGTATGCAATCCAACCACCTGTGCAGCAGAAGAAAGGAGCACAATTCTCTCAGCTCCAAATAATATCCACGTTTCTACTATTGCCTTACTTTTGCATGTAAGTATACCTGACTTTTACATTTTGGTTTGATAAAAATCTAAAGAAGCTGATTTGCTTTGTTGCTTCTGTTTGTACGTATTAGATGGGGGAATGTGCATGTATTGCAAATATTTTTTTTGTCCTGACATACTGTACATACATGGCTGCATTTGTCTGAAAATTATTTTTTTTTAATTTCTTGTTTCAACTGACAAGTGTAGATGAAAGGATATTTTATGCAAATGAGAGGTCCTCTGAAAAATGTAAACAAAGCATGTGACCCTGCTTTTTTGTAGCATCTGTTTTATTTTGATTGATATTTAGCTATTAATATTTTGTTCTTGTCAGACTTATATGACATGGATATATTAAATATTTATAATATGGTTTAATATGCATAGTCACTCCAAAAAGTAGATATAAAGTGCCTTGAAAAAGCATTCATACCGCTTAACATTTTCCACATTTTGTCATGTTACAACCAAAAATGTAAATGTATTTTATTGGGATTTTATGTGATAGACCAACACAAAGTGGCACATAATTGTGAAGTGAAAATAATAAATAGTTTTCAACATTTTTTTACAAATAAATATCTGAAAGTGTGGCGTGCATTTGTATTCAGGCCTCTTTACTCTGATACCCCTAATTAAAATCTAGTGGAACCAATTGCCTTCAAAAGTAACCTAATTAGTAAATAGAGTCCACCTGTGTGTCAGTAAAAAATACAGCTGTTCTGCGAAGCCCTCAGAGGTTTGTTAGAGAATATTAGTGAACAAACAGCATCATGAAGGCCAAGGAACACGCCAGACAGATCAGGGATAAAGTTGTGGAAAAGTTTAAAGCAGGGTTAGGTTATAAAAAGATATCCCAAGCTTTGAACATCTCACACAGCACTGTTCAATCCATCATCAGAAAATGGAAAGAGAATGACACAACTGCAAACCTACCAATACATGGCCGTTCATCTAAACTGACAGGCCGGGCAAAGGACAGCATTAATCAGAGAAGCAGCCAAGAGGCCCATGGTAACTCTGGAGGAGCTGCAGAGATCCACAGGTCAGGTGGGAGAATCTGTCCACAGGACAACTATTAGTCGTGCACTCCACAAATCTGGCCTTTATGGAAGAGTGGCAAGAAGAAAGCCATTGTTGAAAGAAAGCCATAAGAAGTCCCGTTTACAGTTTGCGAGAAGCCATGTGGGGGACACAGCAAACATGTGGAAGAAGGGGCTCTGGTCAGATGAGACCAAAATTTAACTTTTTGGCCTAAAAGCAAAACGCTATGTATGGCAGAAGACTAACACTGCACATCACCCTGAAGGCATCGTCCCCACCGTGAAACATGGTGGTGGCAGCATCATGTTGTGCGCATGGGCGGACTGATAACTCATGGGGCCCCCAGGCAATAGGGGATCATGGGGCCCTTATGTCCTTGCCCACACTCAAAGCACACCCAAAAAAGCCTATGAAAAAGGTACCAGGGGCATCTCATTGGGCCTCCTACTGTGCCCGAGTGCTCGAATGGTCAGTCCGCCCTTGGTTGTGGGGATGCTTTTCTTCAGCAGGGACAGGGAAGCTGCTCAGAGTTGATGGGAAGATGGATGGAGCCAAATACAGGGCAATCTAGAAGAAAACCTTCTAGAGTCTGCAAAAGACATGAGATTGAGGCAGAGGTTCACCTTCCAGTAGGACGACGACCCTAAACATAAAGCCAGAGCTATAATGTAGTGGTTTCGATCAATGCATATTCATGTGTAAGAATGGCCCAGTCAAATTCCAGACCTAAATTCAATTGAGAATCTGTGGCAAGACTTCAAAATTGCTGTTCACAGATGCTCTCCATCCAATCTGACAGAGCTTGAGCTATTTTGCAAAGAAGAATAGGCAAAAATTTCAGTCTCTAGATGTGCAAAGCTGCTAGAGACATACCCAAAAAAGACTTTCAGATGTAATTGCAGCGAATGGTGGTTCTACAAAGTGTTGACTGAATACAAATGCAGGCTGAATACAAATGCACGCCACACTGAATTCTGAAAAACCATTTATCATTTTCCTTCCACTTCACAATTATGTGGCACTTTGTGTTGGTCTATCACATAAAATCCCAATAAAATACATTTACGTTTTTGGTTGTAGCATGACAAAATTTGGAACATTTCAAGGGGTATGATAACTTTTTCAAGGCACTGTATTTCCAAAAGAATTCTTATCAAATAAGAAGCTTTTTTATTAAAAAAAATTACAGATTTTCAAAAATTACAGGAAGTTTTTTTTTAGCTGGGCATTTTAGATTCAAAAGGTGAAAGGGTATATGAGCGCACTAAAAGTAGCAGCTATGCACGGTAGGTAACCAAATAAAACCTGTAAATCAGAATAAAACAACGTAGTGCAGAGCTAAAAAGAATATATCTAATAAATTGCCTATATGATAAATTAGAATAAAGTTTATGGATATATGGTCATAAAATCTAAAAGTTACAATTGTGCTCTGAAGTTGCCTGCTTCAAAGATATTCCGGTGCTCGTGCAGATGGAAATAATAAAATTGCGCACTCACCAGATGCACAATTTAAATGCGCATATATATAGGTATAGATGTCCTCTCAATGGGATCAGGGACATCTACCCTTCAGAGGGAGTTTCACCTATCATCTGTTCTACCCTGATCCCATTGAGAGGACATCTATACCTCTATATATATGCGCATTTAAATTGTGCATCTGGTGAGTGCGCAGTGGGTTGGAAACATTTAGATTTTATGACCATATATCCATGAACTTTATTCTAATTTATCATATAGGCAATTTATTACATATATTTTTTAGCACTGCACTACGTTGTTTTATTCTTATTTACAGCTTATATTTGGTTACCTACCGTGCATAGCTGCTACTTGTAGTGCGCTCACATACCTTTTACCTTTTGAATCTAAAATGCCCAGCAATAAAAAAACTTCCTGTACTTTTCGAAAATCTAAAAGTTTTTGAATAAAACTGCACACTCACCAGATGCACAATTTAAATGTGCATATATATTTTTCCCTGATAGGTATAGATGTCCTCTCAATGGGATCAGGGTAGAACAGATGATAGGTGATCCTCCCTCTGAAGGGTAGATGTCCCTGATCCCAATGAGAGGACATCTATATATATATATATATATATATATATATATACCAAGTACCCATTTTTGGCACTGTATACGTCTTGACATTTATTGTCTCTGTGTTCTAGCAGTGGTGGTCCTGTGCCCATATATATATATATATATATATATATATATAAATGCTCTTTTAAACTGTGCATCTGGTGAGTATTTATTATTTCCATCTGCACGAGCATCGGAATATCTTTGAAGCAGGCACCTTCAGAGCACAATTGTCACTTTTGGAACATTTAGATTTTATGAACATATATCCATGAACTTTATTCTAATTTATCATATAGGCAATTTATCAGATATATTCTTTTTAACGCTGCACTACATTGTTTTATGGACATTTTAGCTACCAAAGGAACTACAGTTGTGCTCAAAAGTTTGCACACCCTGGCAGAAATCGTGAAATTTTGGCATTGACATTGAAAATATTACTGATCATGCCAGAAATTATCACATAGTTGTTTGGCTCCTTTTTAAATTATAATAAACAGAAATCACCCAAATGGCCATGATCAAAGATTACATACCCTGGAATGTTTGGACTTGGTACAGACACACAAAAGTGACACATACAGGTTAAAAACGGCAATTAAAGGTTCATTTCCCACATCTGTGGCTTTTTAATTTTAAATTAGTGCTGTGTATAAATAGGCAATAAGTGTGTTAGCTCTTACGTGGATGCACTGAGCAGACTAGATACTGAGCCATGGGGAGCAGAAGTGAACTGTCAAAAGATCTGCGTAACAAGGTAATGGAACTTTGTAAAGATGGAAACGGATAATAAAGATATCCAAAGCCTATTATTCAATCACTTTTTAAGAAGTGGAAAACTCAGGGATCTCTTGATACCAAGCCAAGGTCAGGGCGACCAAAAAAAGATTGCAGCCATAACTGCCAGAAGAATTGTTTGGGATACAAAGAATAACCCACAGGTAACCTCAGGAGAAATACAGGCTGCTGTGGAAAAAGATGGTGTGGTTGTTTCAAGGAGCACAATACGACATTACTCAAAATGAGATGCATGGTCAAGTTACCATAAAGAATTCTTTACTGCGTCAATGCCACAATGAAGATTTAGTCAGAGAGACAATCTGAAGGCAAACAGCTTCTTCAAGGGTCTCTTTATACAAGTTCCATAATAATCAGTGTTTTAGGTGCAGTGTGTATTTTATTTTTTTCAAATAAAAATTTTAAGTAAAGAGTACAAAAAATGTAAAAAAACAGTTTGAAATGTATATAATGTAAAAATAAAATTGGCCCAAAACCATTATAGTTTTCCGCATCACTAAAAAACACGGTACACAGTACAATACAGAAAATGTATACATTTATTGACAGATTTAAAAACAGATTTTCCATTCTAAATCTCCACCACACAGTCTGTCCCAGAATACTTTGGTAGGTTCAAATCAAATTTCTTCTGTATATCATAGGGCAGGAACCTCCCTGCAACAAAGTGATGTTTCCCAGAAAACTGGACGGCACATCTTTTGGGCGCAGAAAGGGAAATGAGTACCTCCGGATTGATGCCTTCAGCGTTTCCAGATTCCACATCCCAGCCTGAAAAACAGAGACACTCATCAATAAATACAAATGTATATGTATAACAAACAAGTTTGAAAAAATTACATGCATGAAAAGTTTACTCTAGGCTCATTTGAATTTGAATCCTTGGATTGCATACAGAGGGTTGAGTCTACTGACACTTGGATTTCTGTTTTTTATCTAGGCATCGCTTTCTACACAAGGCACTCGACTGCTCAGCTTTAATGAGAAAATGTTGTGAGATCTCTTGCTAATCTCTGCGATGAAAATGTTAGTTGTTTGACTGTCATGTACATACAGGGTCTTCAGCATATTCTGAGTCACTAACCTGGAATAAGTATGCATATGGGTTTTGACCTCAGTCTGCATGCCTGTTCCAGGTCATTGCTTCAAATTATTAATGTCAGAGATAGCCAGGCAATTAACATTTTCAGGAGGAGATCAGCAATGGAAATTTTTCCTAGTACAGGTCTTCTTTAAAGTATATCTTTCTCCATTTTGGATAGAGTGGGGCTTTGTTAAAGAAATTTCCCTTCACTTTGAGGGAAACTCTGCACCAGAGAAACAGACAATAATAAAAAAAGCTGACAGGGGTTCTAGTATTTCTCTACATAACAAAAAAAATTTTTTTTACTTCTGTTTAAATTACTGTTGGAAAGTTTTCTTCACTTGCTGTTTGGCAAAAGGTAAGTAAAAGGAAATCACTCGAACGATGTCCTGCACCGCAGTAAAAACATTACAGGGGTTCTAATCCTTCCTCACTGTATCCAAAACTAAAAAATAAACATGACTATAGATACACTTTTATGTACATTTGTCCCTGATTCCTGCATAGCATTTGCAGCTTACAAATTAACTTAACTTGTTCCCTGAAATTACACTCTATGTGAACCTAGGCATGAAGCAGTGATAAATGCTAGCCCCTGCAGCTATATATATATGTGTGTTCCTTTCACAGAATAATGGCATTCTCACTGCCTGTCCAATGCCCAGAATATTAATCTACTAAAGTGTATTTAGTATACTGAGTATAGAATAAGAGAAGCATTTAACACCCATTATTCTCAATGATGAATCTACAAAACAATAAACATGACCTGGGCAGGACAGAATAATGAGTGTCGTGTGTTCACCTGACAAGACACAGACATGTCACAAAGGTTAGATGTCACCAAGGTTTCTCACCCATTCAGGTTGAGGGGCTTCGGGATATATTTTTCGAGAGGAGAATTTTTTATTTACTTATTACGGGTATTATATAGGGCAAATATATTTCTAGCAGAATTTGCTGTATATATATACACACAGTATCTCACAGAAGTGAGTACACCCCCTTACATTTTTGCAAATATTTTATTGTATCTTTTCATGTGACAACACCGAAAAAATTATACTTTGCTACAATGTAAAGTAGTATGTGTGCAGCTTGAATAACAGTGTAAATCTGCTGTTCCCTCAAAATAACTCAACACACAGTCATTAATGTCTAAACCGCTGGCAACAAAAGTTAGTACACCCCTAAGCGAAGATGTCCAAATTGGGCCCAATTAGTCATTTTCCCTCCCCGGAGTCATGTGATTCGTTAGTGTTACAAGGTCGCAGGTGCGAATGGGGAGCAGGTGTGTTTAAATTTGGTGTTATCACTCTCTCATACTGGTCACTGGAAACACAACAAGGCACCACATGGTAAAGAACTCTCTGAGGATCTGAACAAAAGAATTGTTTCTCTACATAAAGATGGCCTAGGCTATAAGAAGATTGCCAAGACCCTGAAACTGAGCTGCAGCACAGTGGCCAAGACCATACAGCAGTTTAACAGGACAGGTTCCAGTCAGAACAAGCCTCGTCATTGTCGACCAAAGAAGTTGAGTGCACATTCTCAGCGTCATATCCAGAGGTTGTCTTTGGGAAATAGACATATGAGTGCTGCCACATTGCTGCAGAGGTTGAAAGGGTGGTGGGGTCAGCCTGTCAGTGCTCATACCATACGCCACACACTGCATCAAATTGGTCTGCATGGCTGTCATCCCAGAAGGAAGCCTCTTCTAAAGATGATGCACAAGAAAGCCTGCAAACAGTTTGCTGAAGACAAGCAGACTAAGGACATGGATTACTGGAACCATGTCCTGTGGTCTAATGAGACAAAGATTAAGATAAACAATGAGACAAATGAGACAAATGTGGTCTAATGAGACACAGATTAAGATAAACAAAAATTTTTTGGTTCAGATGGTGTCAAGCGTGTGTGGCGGTAACCAGGTGAAGAATAAAAAAGAAAAGTTTGTCTTGCCTACAGTCAAGCATGGTGGTGGGAGTGTCATGGTCAGGGGCTGCATGAGTGCTGAGACGTTAATTGAGAGAACCATGAATGCCAACATGTACTGTGACATACTGAAGCAGAGCATGATCCCCTCCCTTCGGAGACTGGGCTACAGGGCAGTATTCCAACATGATCACGACCCCAAACACACCTCCAAGATGACCACTGTCTTGCTAAAGAAGCTGAGGGTAAAGGTGATGGACTGTTCAAGCATGTCGCCAGACCTAAACCCTATTGAGCATCTGTGGGGAATCCTCAAAAGGAAGGTGGAGGAGCGCAACGTCTCTAACAGCCACCAGCTCCGTGATGTCGTCATGGAGGAGTGGAAGAGAACTCCAGTGGCAACCTGTAAAGCTCTGGTGAACTCCATGCCCAAGAGGGTTAAAGAAGTGCTGGAAAATAATGGTGGCCACACAAAATATTGACACTTTGGACCAGGGGCAGACTGACAAATCATGGGGCCCCCGGGCAATAGGGGATCATGGGGCCAATGTGTCCTTGCCCAAACTAAAAAAAAAACTATGAAAAAGGTACCAGGGGCATCTCATGGGGCCCCCTACTGACCCCGAGCCCTCGGGCAGTGCCCGAGTTTCCAAATGGTCAGTCCGCCCCTGCTTTGGACCCAATTTGGACATTTTCACTTAGGGGTGTACTCTCTTTTGTTGCCAGCGGTTTAGACATTAATGGCTGTGTGTTGAGTTATTTTGAGGGGGACAGCAAATTTACACTGTTATACAAGCTGTACACTCACTACTTTACATTGTAGCAAAGTGTCATTTCTTCAGTTTTGTCACATGAAAAGATATAATTTTTTTATACTTAAAAAAGTCTCACTGGACCCCACCAATCTTAGCAACCTAAGACCCATCTCCTTAATCCCTTTTGCCTCTAAACTCCTTGAACGTCTAGTCTACAACCTGCTGAGCTGCCACCTTATTGAGAATAACCTTCTTGATCCCTTTCAGTCTGGATTTCACCCACAACACTCCACAGAAATTGCTCTCCTAAAACTCACAAATGACTTGCTAACCGCTAAAACTAATGGTCACTATTCTGTACTCTTACTCTTGGACCTCTCCTCTGCCTTTGGCACAGTTGACCACCCCCTCCTCCTCAAAAAAACTCTATTTACTTAATCTCTGTGACTGTACTCTCCGTTGGTTCGAATCTTACCTATCTCACCGCACCTTTAATGTCACTTACAATTCTACCTCCTCCTCTCCTACTCCTCTTACTGTCAGGGTCCCCCAAGGTTCTGTCCCCAGACCTCTTCTATTCTTGATCTACACCTCTTCCTTGGGTCAGCTGATATCTTCCCATGGTTTCCAATACCATTTCTATGCTGATGACACACAAATCTATCTCTCCACTCCTCAACTCACCCCATCAGTTTCATGATGTATCACCGATTTACTAACAGACATATCAGACTGGATGTCACACCACTTCCTAAAACTCTATCCAAAACTGAGCTCATAATATTTTCTCCCCCCACGTGCCTCTTTCCCTGATTTATCGGACAGGATCAGTAGCACCACTATCAACCCATCCCTGCATGCCAAGGTGCTAGGGGTAACCCTGAATTCTGAACTATCCTTTCAGGCCCACATCCAATCCCTGTCCAAATCATGCTGCCTCAACCTCCGTAACATCTCCAGAATATGCCCCTTTTTAACCAATGATACCACAAAGCTCCTAATTCACTCTCTGGTTATCTCTCGCCTCGACTACTGCAACTCCCTCCTCATTGGCTTACCTTTACATAGGCTATCCCCCCTCCAGTCCTTCATGAATACTGCTGCCAGGCTCATCACCTTACCAACCGTTCAGTGGCTGCTACCCCCTGCCAATCCTTCCACTGGATTCCACTCGCCCAATGAGTAAAATTCAGAATACTAACAACAACTTACAAATCCATCCACAACTCTGCCCCCAGCTACATCACTAACCTGGTTTAAAAATATCTACCAAAACCGCTCTCTTCGATCTTCCCAAGACTTTCTACTCTCTAGTTCCCATTTCACCTCCTCCCATGCTCGCCTCCAGGACTTCTCCCGAGCTTCTGTCATCCTATGGAACTCCCTACCCCAATCTGTCTGACTTTCTCCTAATCTATTCACCTTTAGACGATCCCTGAAAACTGTTCTCTTTAAAGAAGCCTATCCTACTTCTAACTAGTAAACTGCCTTTTATTTCCTCCATTAGCTCATCCTCCACAGCTTATACCTTTTGTATCACTCAACCCTTCCTCCTAGATTGTAAGCTTTAATGAGCAGGACCCTCTGTTTCCTCTTGTACCAAATTGTATTGTAACTGTTACGTCTACCTTCATTTTGTAAAGCGCTGCACAAAACTGTTGGTGCTATATAAATCCTGTATAACAATAATAATCTAAGACCATGTCTTTAGAGTGTGAGAAGAAACCGAAGTATCTAAAGGAAACCCATGCAGGTACAGGGTGAACATACAATCTCCATGCAGGTAGTGTCATGATTGAGATTCAAACCAACAACCCTAGTACTAAGCACTAAGCCACAGTGCTGCCCAAAAAAAGTGGAGAAAACTGGCCTTGCAGTTTTGACCAGGATTGGAAAATCTTTGAATTCTGGTGCCTGAAGGATTTGTAAAGTATTGAGGGTTATGAAACCTCTGGCCCTGGGTCCGTGGATTGGCAAGCAATCAACCCTTTTAGTAT